ATAGGTGGAAGTAGTTTCTAGTGATGTTAGATTAATATTAAAAGGCTTGAAATATGATAAGGGTGCTTTTATATTTATTTAAATATCAACGGGCCTTAAAAGGCCAAGTGGTGGAGAGCTACTTGGACCACTTAGGCCCAATAGTGGTGGTGCCCCCTTCCCCTTGTAGTAGGAAGGGGGAGGTCGAATTGGAGGGCAAGTCCCCCCCCCCCCCTCCTCTTGGCTGGCCAAGGGGGGAGACTTCCCCCCTTGTGTGGCGCCTCCTTCCCTTCCTCTAACCTATATATACTAGAGGTTTTGGGCACTTTTGAACACACAAGTTTTTGGAGGCTCCTCTAGTTCTCTAGTTCTAGTTCTTGTTGATCCAATTAGGGCTAGACCTAGATCCTCTAATCCTCATAATTAAGCCAAGTATGGCTCTAATACCCTCCCTCTAATTCTCCGGTGACGATTAGCTCTGGACGGTGAAGTCTTGCCAGATCGTGGAGACCGTATGCTTGTCATCTATGGAGAGTCCTTGCATTCGGTCTTCCCCTCGAGGGAATGTTCATGAATGGTTCGAGGGATCGTTCATCGATGGTTTGAGGGACTTCAAGTATGATCTACACCGACTCGTCTTCTTCCGATGCAACTCGGAGTTGGTAACGATCCGATCCAAACCGTTATTGCATCTTCATAGTGTTCCTAGTTGATTGTTTGGCGATTTTTTTTGTTTTCTACTACATTTACCACCAATAATGCCAGGCATAGACAACTTCAACTAATAAATAAAACTTGCTTGAACGTGTGCGTATCGATTGTCTCTTCTTGTGGGTATGCAAGAAAGAAGAGAACATTGTAGGGTGATGTTTGGAATCGTAGGCAGCTGATTAGGATCACTTATTGATCAACTAATTTGCGACCCCATTGTGTAGGTTGATCTCATCTTGTTCTAGTATTGGTATGACTAGTTGGTTACATTGCTTAGCTTTGTGCTGCAACCTCAACACTTAACCATATCCAACCAATAAGTATTGTTAGTCTTGGTACCCTTGGTAACGGGACTTTTGAGTCCTCAAGGCTCACAAATACGACAACATCCCCAGGTGCATGTACATGCTAAGTAAAGCTTTGCTCTGAGAGCGCGGAATGTTCTTCGTGGAGTTCTTCTTCGACGACGACTAGTAGATCCCGGTTTTGGCATCTTGAAACCCGTTGGTTATGGGATGTTTGCTTATGTTCTAGCCTCTTTAGGCAACTTCGGTTCTTGTCCGTGCTCGGACCCATGTTTCTTTTGTGTTGTAATGTTCGGTCATGTGACCTCTGATTGGTGTATAACTATATTATCATATTGGCATATGTTCGCCATTTTGTTCACTCGTATTAAACTCATTTATCTTGTATAGTTGTACTTCTTGTGATGTTCCATCTTTGTTCACCAGCATATGACATTACGTTTATGTTATGAAGTCATATTCTAGGGCAACCAATATGGGATTCTATCCTTAGCGAGGATAGCAAAGTCTTCGCTGAGGCTAGGATCGCATGGTGGGTGTTACAAAGAATCACACACTATCTCACATGACGCACATCCGGTCAACATGACTTTTCTGAATTTCTTGATGGATATGCTTGATGTGATATTGTTTTATGTATTGAGCATGAAGAGTTGTGACATGTGAAGTGGTAGATTATGAGTGGTTTTGGAAAGAATAGCTAGAAAAGTGGACTACGCCTATTAGAGAAAACACGTTTCGAAAAGAAATACCTACTTCTAATTATTTGTAAGCCTAATTAATTGCCCGCCTAATTTATTTATTACATTAATGACTTGATTTTTATTAATTCCGCGTGAAAAAATCATGTTTAAATGGACCTAATTAATTGCATATGTAATTAACTGTCTGGCTAATTAATTACATTAATGACTTGATTTCCAAATTGATTCGGCGCTCAGTTTCTAAATTGTTTTCGCATTAATGGTTGCATGCGGACGGTGATGATGTATGTATTCCCATTGGTCCAAAATAGATTTATTTTTTCCGATGATATTCCGTTGTTAGATAGCAGCAATATTTTTTTCCCATATGATACAGTAAGGTTAGGGTTCCAATATCAAAACTAACAGAGCAAAACAGAGACGACATCCATGTGCACAAAGGAAAAAAGCAAGAGCAGTTTTACAATGGTTCTTCTTACATCTAGAGAGGTAAGAGTCATCGAATCCTAGCCATTGATTATTGGTGATTTTTATTGTGCAAAAAGATCATATTTGACCCTCCAATTAATACATCGTGGCATAAAAAGGAAATTAATAATGCACATTATTGTCTTTCCTATAAATTCCTCACGAAATCAAGGATATTACAATAATTAAATCAATGTGTTTTGAAGATGAAACATTCGAAGAGCATGGCTAATGGTACAACCAACTGTCGGCTATACGATGTTGTCATGTCATCTATATTCATCACTTATAGTCATTCATAAAACAAGGTTAGCTATAAGATTGGCTATAAGACTAGTGTTTTTTTCATCCTCTCTCTATCTCTTTCTTCACATTTAATGTATCTTCCTTTTTTAAGAATCTATTGCATAGCTAAGCTCTTTCATGAGAGTCCACTCCCCTTACTTTGTCATGTATACCTTCTTCACGTAGGCAAAATTGTCATGTAAGCGGGCTATAAGCCTGTTAATGTACTTGCTCTAAGCAGCTTTTACTTCTCATAGTACATATATACGAAACATTTAAAAATGTTCCAGTATATTAAAAAAATAAGTATGGTTGGATGGCTCAAATTGTCCGTGCCTTAAATTCTTTGAAAAATAAATAAATTTAATTTAATTTGCATGTGGAAAAGATTGTTGTCAATGGATTCTCAAATTTTGTTTCGAAGAAATTGAAATCTGATTGAAATAAAATGGATGATTTAAATTGTATGTAGCAATTTTGTTGGCATGTCAAGCTAGTAATTTTTTTAACCGTGCAAACATTTGATGTACAAGTTACATTGCATACTTTTTTTGAAAGTATTTATTTATTTAACGTAATAGTCTATATGACCAGAGTTCTTAGCATTATGTTTCCATAGTATTAATAGGAGCCCTTCGAAAAATGAAAAATTTACTGCCTATTTAGTAATCTTACTTCTTAGATGATAAGAGATTATATGGCCCTTGGATCAAAAAACATAGATGGCTAAAATAGTTTGGGATCATGTTAAAATTTCTCAAATACAAATGGCTTCCGCACAAAACCACTAACATCAAAACAAGAGCTACTCTTAGAACGAAAGCTCTTTATCATTTGTTAGTCTGCTACACCTATGTAGTGAACGAGTGCCAATGATTGATCCAAAGTCTTCGGCTGACATACAACCCGTATAATTAACCATCAAGGTTTGTAGTTGGCTGATCACGCTTACCGCATGATGACATACAAAAAGAACGTATAAGAAAAAGAAAAAAAAACAGGGAAAAAACGTATAAAGCCGGCCATTGTTCTGTGAACTCATTCGGTCTTGTGGTGGACTTGCAGATATATTTATTGTCAGACAACAAGAGTTCAATTTTCATGTCAATAGCTATTCCCTCCGTTTGGAATTACTCGTCCAAGAAAGGAATGTATCTAGATGTATTTTAGTTGTATATACTTCCATTTTTGTGACAAGTAAATCCGAACGGAGGGAGTACATGCCATCTAACATCGTAAAGATATGTATTGGAGCCACACTAGCCTCGCTTGTTGAATTTTAAGTGCAAGTGGAACCATGCATGATGAAATACATACTCGATGCACATAGTCCAAACTACTATTCCTCTATAAACGTTTATAAGACTTTTTAGATCACTAGTGATCTAAAGAGTCTAAGTAGTGATCTATAAAAGTTTACAGAGGGAGTACGTACTCTCTAAGCAAATGAATCATGTATACTAATAATATTTATTAGTTCCCGAATCATGTATACTAATCATCTTTATTAGTTCCCTAGTTGACCCGGTGGCATGGCTAACCACTTCACAGCTGGTTTGTTCGATCTGGGTTACAAAAATGCCTCGTGGTTGTGACAAGAGTTTTAAATTGAAATGATTTTGTATTTGCGCCAACCTATGGTACTTCCGTACTATGCGGTACTTGCCGTTGTAAGACCCGTCAAACAATACGACTTCTATGCAGCAGAAGGTAGGTTTCTTATTTTTAGTGTGAAGATTCAAGGATAGTGATAGGAATCGTGCTTAGTATCACATTTACACCCAAGTATAGGTTGGTTAGTTATTCACCCAATCTTGAGTCAGCTAGCCCTGACCATGATGAGATATGGTTGTTGTAGCTTGTCATGCAGTAAGGACACTCCCAGTGCTCCATCTTGGACTCATAAGAATTTTTCTGTTGAATAGTTTGGGTTGCTTACCACGTATATTATCTGGTACCTATTGAATGATAAAAGATAGAGTTACCATATCTTAATCTAAATATAGGGCTATAAACACGAAGGGAGCAATAATATCTCAGAAATTTTCTCTCACAACAGATACTCCCTCCATTTTTAAATATTTGTCTTTTTTAGAGATTTTAAATGGACTACCACATACGGATGTATATAGACATATTTTAGAGTGTAGATTCACTCATTTTGCTCCATATGTAGGCACTTGTTGAAATTTCTAGGAAGACAAATATTTAGAAATGGAGGGAGTATTAAATAAGAATTGTTTTAAATGCAACACAAATATAGTGCATTGAGATTTGAGAGTGCCATATCTAAAACATGAATGCCAACTCAAAAAACAAACAAACATGAACGCGAGATATACACTGGCCTGCCCAAAGTTGACCAATCTATAAATACACGATGATGCCGGCCCTTGAGAGCTGGGCACCCTTCCTCGGTACCGTTGCTGCCAGTCAGCTCTCCTTCTCGATACCTTGACCAGTGACCACAATACTCCACTGGTAGTAGCACGAGAAGCCTTTGCAGGGCGTCCACTCCACACACACACACAACAGGGGAGGAAACGCGATGGCCGTAGGTGCCGTTGGCGTTGAGGCTGGCCATGGCTCCCCTTTGGCTTACGGCGGCGAGCTCACGTTCACCGTAGTCATGACCTGCCTCGTGGCGGCCTCCGGCGGCCTCATCTTCGGCTACGACATCGGCATCTCAGGTCAGATTCACCCACAGCTTACCACGATCTTGCGCGGTGTGCTCGTCTCGTTTCTGATCTCTTGCTAACTATATTGTGAAAAATTCAGGCGGCGTCTCGCAGATGAAGCCCTTCTTGCAGACCTTCTTCCCCACGGTGCTGAGGAGGATGGCGGACGCGAAGCGGAGCCAGTACTGCATCTTCGACAGCCACGCGCTGACCTCCTTCACCTCGTCGCTCTACATCGCGGGGCTCGTGTCGTCCTTCGCCGCCGGCCGCGTCACTAGGTCGCTGGGCCGGCGCGGCGTGATGCTGCTGGGCGGGGCGCTCTTCTTCGCCGGCGGCGCCATGACCGGCGCGGCCATGAACCTCGCCATGCTCATCGTCGGGCGCATGCTGCTCGGCTTCGGCGTCGGGTTCACCAACCAGGCCACCCCGCTGTACCTCGCCGAGATGGCCCCCGCGCGGTGGCGCGGCTCCCTCGGCGTCGCCTTCCAGTTCTTCCTCGCCCTCGGGATCCTCATCGCCAACCTCGTCAACTACGGCACCGCGAGCCTCGAGTGGGGCTGGAGGCTCTCCCTCGGCCTCGCCGGCGCGCCGGCCATCGTCATCTTCGTCGGCGCTCTCTTCCTCACCGACACGCCCAGCAGCTTCATCATGCGCGGGAAGGCAGACCTCGCCCGGTCGGCGCTCCTCCGGGTGCGCGGCGCCAGCGCGAACGTGGACGCCGAGCTCAAGGACATCACGCGCGCCGTGGAGGCCGCGCGCAGCAGCGAGGAAGGCGCGTTCCGGAAGCTCCTCGCCGACCGGCAGTACCGCCCGCACCTGACCTTTTCCGTCGTGGTGCCGTTCTGCCACCAGCTCAGCGGCATGATGGTGCTGACCTTCTTCTCGCCGCTGGTGTTCCGCATCGCCGGCTTCGGGAGCAACGCGGCGCTGATGGGCGCGGTCATCCTCGCCGCCGTCAAGTTCGGCTCGCTCATCCTCTCCACGCTGGTGATCGACCGCTACGGCCGCAAGGTGCTCGTCGTGGTGGGCGCGGTGATCATGGTCCTCTGCCAGGTCGCGAACGCGTGGATCATGGGAGCGAAAGCCGCCGACGGCCCGATACCGCGGGCCTACGGGGTGGCGCTGCTGGCGCTCACCTGCGTGCAGGGCGCCGGGTTCGGCATGTCGTGGGCGCCGCTCATCTGGATCATCCCCGGCGAGATCTTCCCGATGGAGATACGGTCGGCGGGGCAGTCGGTGAGCGTCTCCACCACGCTCGGGCTCACCTTCCTGCAGACGCAGACCTTCCTCGCCCTGCTCTGCCGCCTCAAGTACGCCACGTTCGCATACTACGCGGCCTGGGTCGTGGCCCTCACGGCCTTCGTCTTGGTCTTCCTCCCGGAGACCAAGGGCGTCCCCCTCGAGTCCATGGGCTCCGTCTGGGACCGCCACTGGTACTGGAAGAGGTTCGTCGGCGACGGCCACGGCCACGGCCGGCGCAAACCACCTTCATCTCCGTCTGCATCAACATGAGCTACGTGTTCGTTTGTCCGTTCAACGACAACCTTAGAGGCTGAAGGTGGGACCCAGCATAGATGCAGCCCAGCCTCTATACACTGCTGATGCCCTCATAGATGCTAAATGTCTTTCCTTTTCTTTTGACAGCTTGGATAATGGGTATGTTATTAATTGTCGATGTATATATGTATACATGTTCTTGTGTAGTGAAATCTTTCTAATGAAACGTGCTGATCACCGGAATATCTTCAACATGAGTATTTGTTGGTCAACCAATCGTAATTGACTCGAACCAAAAATATGAGCTCATAATGAGCTGAAATGATTGTTTTTTATCGTCGATGACACACAGTCATATTTTACAATCGCTTCGTTGTCTTACATCATGATTGTGATGTCCCATTAGAAGGTTTTTAATGTTCCACGATAAAGGTTTATTGTGATGTTCCATTGTGTGCCATCATTATTGTGATCACATATAAGTTTTTCCATTATTGCGACTAACTTTTAGAAGGATTTTTCTTCTTATTCCCTGATAGAATCCTGATACAACTTGGAGCAAATTCTCCGGTCTATCTCTTTTAGTAATAACAACGATGCATTTTATGGCAGTATGACTCTAGAGGGGGAGGCGGGGCATTCCCTCTGTTTGGTCTACTTTAGTTCCTCGCAGGGTCCAAGTCTTTTTGTGGCTTCTATCTCTTACCAAACCTATGACTAGACAAAAATTTGTAGAGAAGAAACTTGAATATACATTCGGATTGTGTACTTTGCAATGAGCAAGAAATCGTTTCTCATCTGCTCTTTGATTGTGCAGTTTCTAAAAGTATTTGGAAATAGTTGTCTAGCTTATTTTTGGAATTACTTTAGGATATGATTTTCCTTCTGTTGCCAGATTTTGGCCCGCTAACAACAACTACGCGTGCCTAATTTTACATGTGCTTGCATCTTAGGGTGTACCTGGAAAACTAGAAATGCACACATATTTAATAATGCAATTTGATCTGATATTAAGAAGGTGTGGCGGTTAATCCTAGTGCTTAAAAAAAGGAGGATCCTACACAAGGAGAAGCATCTCGGAAGAAAGATTCAATCTCTGAGATGACCTCTTCATGGAATAGAAACTCCACATCGCCTGTCCTTGGGGTAACTGACCCTGACCTTGGCACAGGTTCTCTCAATAGTGCCCTCCTCTCTAACATGTCCTTGGTTGATCCAGACAATAACCACCGGGTGAGGGAAGAATGCAGATGCTTTGCTATCCCCTACCTCGAGCCCAAAGAGACCAAAGCCTCCCATGCTTAGCCCCTGCAATCCTCTCGAGCTAACCGACTCGTCCCTACAGTCCTCCCCCCCCCCCCCCTGAAGAAATCCAAGATCAACTTTTGTCGGTGTCAAAACCGGAAGACCTCGGGTAGGGGGGCCGAGTTGTTAGATTGGATCGATGGGTAACAAGAGAAAGAACACATCGCATTTACCCAGGTTCAGACCCTCACTATGAAGGTAAAGTCCTACGTCCTGCTCTTACTTATATTATGGATGTATCGAAGTACAGAGTTGATCTTCGCCGGCGGTTGGTTTGCAGTATCGGGATAGGAGATCACTGGTTTGATTGCTGGACCTTTTCATTCAAGTTTAGAGTTATCATTTATGCTGTTTCACCAAACTTGTATGGAAAATATTTATTTTCGTATAGAGCACTAAATGTCATCAAGCCTGGTGGTTAATCGCCAATTGGGTTGCGCCCTTTTCATTTGTGTTCAAAAAATTTACTTTACGCTGTTAATTTAAAGAATATATAACTTCCTGATCCCACTTCAACAACAAATGTCGTCGGTTGTTCCAGTAAGGTGCGCTCCGAAATGTTGGACAGTTTTCCCTCTTAGGGCCAGTTCTTTTGGGCGGCTTAAAAAATAAGCTGCCTCTCCCTAGCTTAAAAAATAAGCCGCCTCTAAATTTTTTTGAGACTTCTAGAATATTTATCCCATGACTAGTTTAGAAGCCCCAACGAATATAGGAGGTGGCTTATGGAAAAAGCTGGGGAGAGGCAGCTTATTTTTTAAGCCGCCGAAAAGAACTGGCCCTTAATGCGATTTGTGTTGTTTCTAACCTACCAGGGTTATTTTAGTGCAAGTTTTCTTTTCGCAAAAAGAGCAGGCCCCAAACGCTGTCCCCACCGTCTCATCACTAACAGCGGGCTCCATGCCTGCTGGCACGTCTTGTCAGCGTTAAGGATTTAAAAAAAGCGTAAAGGATTTAAAAAAAAACAAGTTTTGCACCATATTTATGCAGCAAAGTTAAATTTTTGCATCATTTCAATGTACACCACAACTTGTAGCACTGAAATGATCATTCATGCCAAATTCTGGCACCACAGCTGCACCACTGGTGTAATTGACTCTTTTTCCGAGTTGTTTTTAGAACTTGTATTTTAAGACTGAGAGCGGTTCTTGTTCCACTTGGTACTGCCTCGACGGCAAGCAGCTGGCTCTCACGGTCACGGCCGTTCACGTCGTCGCTGCACGTTGCCGGGCTGGTGCCGTCCGTCTTCGCTGGTAAGTATAAATCGCTATCCCCGGTGCAGTTATTTAATCTACCTACGTGCATACCACGCGTGTGCCAGTGAAAGTCAAGTCTTCGGTTCACATATACACTGCGTATAAATCCAGCCGCTGTTCGCTGGACTTACGATATCATGCCAAGATATCTTCGGAGCCACTAACCACGCTTGCTTATTTTTAAGTACACAAGTGGAACCATGCATGGCTGGACTTAACCCAACAACAATAGACTGAGTGACGAGCCTTCAATCATGTCTGTTAAAGTAACTACAACCGGACCTATCAAACCCGCCTCATACACCCCGGTGAGCCGCCCGGTCACTACCCGGTCCCGATTTTTTACCCAGACGGGCCTCTCAAACGGCCCTCAAACAACCGGACTGACCGGCACCCCCATATCCAGCCCAAGTATGGGGCGGATATGGGGCATGCGGGCGCACCTGGGCAAGTCCGCCACGTCGGACTGACAAAGGGGCCCCACACAGAAACGCCCGGAAACACATCCACCTCCTTCCTCTTCCGCTCCGGCGCTCTGCCCATGCTCCGGCACTTCACCATGGTTCGGAGCAAGATCATCTACTATGCCATGCTGACGCCGGAGCGCCGCTATGAGATCCAGCAGCAGATCCAGGCGAGGGAAGCCGCGCGCGCCGCCCGCATCGCTGTCGGGCTGCCTTCGGACTCACCGGAGCTGGAGGAGGAGGAGGAGCAGCCGGGGGAAGAGGAGGAGGAGATGGCTCCGATGGAGGTGGAGGAGCAGGACCAGCAGGTGCCGCCCTTCAACATGGAGCAGGCGGAGGCGGAGTTCGCCGTCGCCCAGTCCGACGAGATGACCGAGGAGTAGGCCATAATTGAGTTCATCCAGGATGAGGCCTATGTGGAGGCCAATCGAGCGTTCCTCAGGCCAGGGCAGGCGGAGTCCGACGCACTCTTCGCCGAGCTCGACGTGAAGATAGAGGCGGAGGAGGCCAGAGCGGAGCAGCCGGAGCTGCAGCTGCCGCCCATGCTACTGGAGCTGGGCACGGAGATTGATCTCCGACGAGGAGTAGCTAGGATCGACGTAGTACGTAGGTTCTATATCCTTTTGCGTGTCTTTGTATGGATATAAAAATCGGGTATGAGATGTGCGGATGCAACAAGTAAAATTTAAGGTGTGCCCGGTCACTGTTCGCGGACGCGCCAGATTTGCCATATGTGATTGTAGATGCTCTTAACAAGTCTCTAGTTGACCTCGTGGCATGACTAACCACTTCACAGCTGGTTGTTTGGTCTCAGTTCCTACTATAAAGATGACCCGTGATTGTTGTGACAGTATTAAATTCAATTGATTTTTATTCTTTTTCCGGATGAACATGAAATGATTCTGTACATACGCTGATCCTAAAGAAGTTCTAACGATACGGCATATGAGGTATCATATGACTATCGAATAACAATTGACCGCTTGACGAATTATATAATACTCTGAGCAAATGAATCGTCAGCAATCATGTCGTCGATCATTGTTTTGATCGCTTTAGAGTTTTCTTTTTCATTTTTCTTTTCCTCCGCTAAAGCAGAGATGGTGTCATGTAGGACTTTGCTCTTTGCTGGTGTGATTCTTCATATATGTGCATGTGTTTGTTATAGTATTGATTGTATGCATTCTAGTCATGCAGAGCCCGATTGTTTGCTCATTAAGTTTGTATTACTTTGATGCTTCATCTTGAGCTAATAAAATCCACATTTTATCTAAAGAAAGACAATTTGGTAGTGCAGAATTTTTCCTGTGCCAGTGGCAATATTTCGCGTCAGAGCACTAAGAGCATCTACAACCGGTTTTCTTCATTTTTCTTTGTTTCCTTCTCGAGTTTGACTGTATTCATTCTTTTGCATTGGTTTTCTTCAATTTTTTTCCTTTTTCTTTTTTGGGTTTTATTAGTTCTCCATTTTTCTTTGATTTTTTGTATCATTGGTTTCTTTTTTTCTAACACATGTCTACTTTTTTAGAGTACACAATATACATTTTTAGTGCATACATGAATTTTTTTTATGCACGCTCAACATTTTTCGAGTACACGATTTACATATTGCTTTTCATACATGTTTTGAACACCTTTTGAATATATGGACAACCTTCCAAATACACGTTAAACGTTTTTATGGTAATAAAAAATTAAAAATACATGAAAATTTTCTTGCATGATATAAATACTTTTAAAATGTTTTCAGTAGACAATATACATTTCTATTGTAGACGCGAAATATTTTTTTGATACATGTTGAACATTTTAAAAATACATGATGTACATTTTTCTTATTCATGTTTTGAACACTTTATTGAATAGATGGTCAACATTTTCCAAATATACGTTGAACATTTTTATTGTAATAAACATTTTTGTAAAATTATGCAAGTTTTTTTTTACATTGTACAAACATTTTTAAATGTCACAACTGTTTTGTGCAACACGAGAATATTTCTTTAAAACGCCATGAACACTTTTTAATGGTAATAAATATTTATGCATTTTGTTTACATTGTATACACATGTTTCAGAATTTTCACACACATCTTTTTGAAACGCAAGAACATGTTTCATTGGCGCGAACATTGTTTTTGAAAGCCATCAACATTTTTTAGTTGTGCTAACATTATTTCACCATGTTAACATTTTCAAAGTCATGGTTTTATTTTTTCAAATAAATTTAAGTTTTTAAACAATGAATAAAAAGAAAAAGGAAATTAGGGCATCTATGTGTCATCAGTGTGGGAGACCCACATTCCTACTGGGCCAACCATATAAGCGAGGTATAGGCGCGCGGGCCCATCTGATTGGAGCAGTATTTCCTCTTCATGGCCAGCGGTCTATTCCTCCTCATGCCCATGTGACCCCGTTGACCCTAATCACACATGAGGTAAGAGAGAGAAAATAGAAAATGCTTAATGAAACACTAGACCATAGGAGTGTCCGAGAATGTTACAATTATTGACATACCGCGAGAAAAATATGCTGCACCGATAACATTCAGGAAACCATTTAGCAGGAAACTTGTATGCTGCAATGTCGGATGTTTGAGATCTTATGTCTAAATAAGATCAGACGATGAATGTTGATATTTTTTTCCATAAATTTGGTCAAACGTGAGAAAGTTTAACGGAAGGCAAGCCGAACATGTTAATGAATTGAAGTTACCGTAGTGATAGTGTCACCCGGAAAAAAAAACCGCAGTGATAGTGATTGTTTTAGTTAGACAGCTTAAACCCAATAGAGGGTGGAGATTTCATCTCCTGCCGTGCTGCCGCGGACACTACCCTGTCCAGCAAACGCACTTGTTTCGGCGGCGGCGGCGCGAAGACAGAGCCGGAAGAATTAGGGTTTAAGCCATGGCGGCCGAGGACCAGATCCCGCGAGCGCAAGCCAACCCCGAGAAGACCAAGAAGCGGAAGAAGCCCAAGAAGGACAAGTGGGGCCAGCCCATCGCCGCAGCGGCCGATGAGCCGGCCGTCGAGCAGGTGCAGGAGCAAGAGGCACCTGAGGAGCCTGCCGTAACGGCGGCGGCGGGGGCGGAGGGGGTCGGGGAGGGAGCGGAGAGCTATGAGCGCGGCAAGGTGGTGGCGAGCGGCATGCCGTACACGACCACCGAGGAAGAGATCCGGGAGCTGTTCGACCGGTTCGGCCCCATCCGCTCCCTCCAGCTCTCCCGCTTCCCGGACTCCGGCAACTTCCGCGGCCTCGCCTTCGTCACCTTCGAGGTTACTACTGAATTTATACTGCTATTTTGTTTGTTATATGCCGTAGTACTCCCTCCGTCCGGAAATAATTATCATCAAAATAAATAAAAGAGGATGTATCTAGACATATATTAATTCTACATACATCCCTTTTTATCCATTTTGATGACAAGTATTTTCGGACGGAGGGAGTAATAGTTTTTTAGCATCCAAATCCTCTGCATTTGCTCCAAATACGGAGGTTAAGAGTCTGGCAGTTGCTCGTTTGTACCTTAATTGACATGTTGCAAGACAAATTGGATATGCACTTGTTCTTCAGACTATCTTGTTAACCACTTTGTATATGTCACACTGTCACCTTGTTCTGTCAGTTTGTTGAATGGGCTATGTACAATACAGTGGTGTGTGTGTTTGGTCCTGTTCGATCCCTGATCATCGATTTTAGTTGTGGACTCCCTTTGCATGATTCGTCACCATATATGATGACCAATTGGCAGACTGGTAATCATTTGACGGCATTTAAAATATTGGAATTCCTTCCATCATACAAGTGATATTCCCTTATCTTGTGACCGAGCAAATTTGCTGTTGCTGCTCTATGCAAGAACTACAAAGTAAACTGAAGAAATTTTGTAAGTTGGAACATATAGCTAGTTGGCTTTTTAGTTCATTTGAACAAAGCTAATTCACTCTATTATGTCATTCAGTCCGATGAAATGAAATTGGCATGAAATCTCTGTGAGATCTACTAAGAACACTGAAGAAGTTTTATAAGTCAGATACATATAACTGTTTGGCTTTTTGGTTCGTTTGAAAAAGGCTGATTCATTCTACTCTATTATGCCATTTCAGTCAGATGAAGTTGCCATGAAATCTCTGGAGCTTGATGGATCCAAAATGTAAGTTTCAGCCCGTCTATTGATTTGTGTCTTACTCATGTCATCGCACAGGCGAATTCCCTTGTCACTGACACATATACTGCTTGTTACAGTGGTAACAGGTTTATGAGGGTCGAAAGATGCAGGGTAACTGCTAGCTCGAAGAGGCAAAAGAAGACAGAGTTCCAATCTGATCCTGAGAAGCCTGATGGCTGCCTCTCAGCTTATGTCGGCAATCTCGCATGGAACATCACCGAGAAGGACTTGAGGGATTTCTTCAAATCATCAAGGATTGCATCAATAAGATTTGCCATCGACAATAGAACTGGAGATTCTCGTGGTTTCTGCCATGTTGATTTCGAGGACGATGAATCGCTCGAGAAAGCTGTCGGGATGAATCAATCTGAACTGCGGGGAAGACCTGTGAAGATAGCATATGCTATCATCAACAGGGCCTGAAGGCTGGCTAGCTGGTGCTCAACGTTTAGCATTATTGGGCTAGTGAGATTCAGTTGTAAGGTCTTGCCCCCTTCACTGTTTCCATTATGTTTCTATAGACCAAACATGCCATATATTGGCCAGAAGTAATGATCGTGTAACAAATACTTTTGGGCTGCATCTTATCAATCTATCTTAAAAATCATGCTGCTCGTTGTTCTGTCCAGCACAGTTTCAATGGCTTTGTAGGAGAGTTGTGTAAACCTGTCTGTCTTATGTTTGTATGAGAAAACCTATGTCTGCACATCCTCTTAACATGTACTACCTTTTAGCAGGGGATGTCTGTAGAGCAGGGGTATGATGTTTTTCGGTTATTGTTGAGAGTATATCTCTGATGCTCCACTTTGACAATACCTGTAACCATTCATGTAGGAGGCATATCGTGTCAACAAGGATTGTTCAGTATAGGATTAACTTATTAAGTAGGGTCATGTTGGTTATGCTATATTTATCCTGGCGGTCCTAGTGTAGGAAAGAAAATTAGGCAAGTGCATTGGAGACCACTGTCGCCTTTTTTCAGTCTGTTCATGGATCATGAAGCTAAGAACTACTCCCTCTGTAAAGAAATATAAGAGCGTTTAGATTATTAAAGTAGTAATCTAAACGCTCTTATATTTCTTTACAGAGGGAGTATATATGCATTTGAGGTGATCAGTTTGCGTGTTATTGTGAGCGCCTAAAGGGGCTGATGACTAAAAAGGAAGAGGTGCTCAGCATTTAGCATTAGCCTGCTACGGAGCTTCAGTATTCTGACTCCAGTGTTTGGTTTTGGCCCCCTCCACGGTGATGCTTTGTTCACCAAATGTAATGCTTGTGTTTCAAACAATTGGTGGCTACATTTTTACAGGTCTATCAACCTTCTCTGCTCGCCGTTTAAAGTCTAGCTGATACACCACGCTGTTCATGTTCAGCATGGTTGCGACGACTTAAAGTTTGCACAGCTGCTGAAATGCTTTTCTTTTTTTCCTTTTGAGAATATAAGACTGTTCTTTAATCCAAGTCAATCGTAGAGTTATGTAAACCTGTGTCTGGTAGGTTTTTTAACACCCTCCCTCTGTAGTTAATTTGTTCACATGTTTGTTTGCAAGGAATGCCTGTCCCTCTGATTCCTGGTGGTTATGCCATCTTTATTAGGTTCCTGGCTGTCACTTTGTTCTCAGTTTCCTTGTCCGTCCATCATGAAGCTACAATGCTTTAGCATCTAATATCTATCTTTTTTTTCTTTTTTGCGGAACGGAATTAGCATCTATCAATCTGACCGCCCGGCTTAAGCATCTCGCTTTAGGCTTCGTTTGGTACTGCAACAGACATTGGTAAGCCGGTTGGTCTGAGTTACATTTTTCTTTCTTGAGCTTATAATAACATTACTATTATCGATGACCTGAACATACATGTTGATCAAATTGTATTCATTTCCACGAATGCAGCTGAAGAGTAGTCTTGGGTACTGTTTGTTTTCTTCGAAACGGAGGCATAAGCTTTGCCTCATACATTAATTAAGGGGGGAAAGAGAGTTGAGGTTACAATACAACCAAAAAGCAAACACAAAAGAGGTCACTACTCTCCCGGCATGAGTTGAGCCAAATGCTTTGCGCCCGCGATGACCCAAAGTCTTGCTTCTTTTTTAATCTCCTCCATGAGAGTTGTTGTAGGGGTGAATTTGAGTCGGAAGACCCTGTGTTCCTCTCATTCCAAATGGTCCAACACATGAGCATGGTGATAGATGCCATTGCACTCCTATTGAGAACGCTGCTTTTGGACATTTTGATCCACCAATCTTTTATGGACCTCTCCATAGCACAAACAGTGGTGTCAAGGTGCACTAGTTGGAGCCAACATCTAACCATATCCCAAAGGCTCAAGTTTTAGCGGCATTTGTAGAGCAAGTGGGAGGAAGTTTCCGACTCTCTTTTGCATAAAGGGCATGCGCCACAATTTGGACAACCACGCTT